AGTGGAGAGAGCGTCAGCTTGCGGACTGAAAGGTCCCAGGTTCGATTCCGGTCAAGGGCATGTACCTGGGTTGCGGGCACAGCCCCAGTCGGGGATGTGCAGGAGGCAGCTGGTTGATGTTTCTCTCTCATCAATGTTTCTTACTCTCTAGCCCTTTCCCTTCCTCTCTGTAAAGAATCAATAAAATGTGTTTTTTTAAAAAAGTAATGTCATTAAGGAAAATTAAGTATCCTGGGGTGAGGATTAACAACAACAAAGAAGTAATGTCACCATATGTTTGAGGGACGAGTGGTTGAGAAATGGGGAACTGGTTGCAGATGGAAGGCAACCGATGCTTTTTTCTGTGCAGTTCCGGATTGCACTCACCCCATTTCCTTTTAGGAATTTTGATCTACTCGGCCATTTGCCTGGTCAGCAACTTTCCGACTCAGACCAGCTCTGGGCCCTCGGGAGCGGACTGCTGCATGAGTCCACCAGGGAGCGCTCCGAGGACGCCGAGCCCTGGTCTGCAGAATCCAGACAGGCCCAGACAGGTGGGGGCTGTTGCCCCCACGAAGGGAAACCGTGGTTTCCTGCACCACAGTCTGAAGAGGGGGAACAGACTGTTCTGGAAGCCCCTAAGACGTACAAGCATGTCAAACTCTCGGCTAGAAGAACTCAGTGCATTAAGAGAAACTATTATACTCAAGGTTTTTCACAGCAAAAAGGTACAGATTAAACCTGCAAAGGGAAAAGGTATACAGGGCACAGCCCAGGACAGAGCAGGTGCAAGCCTCCAGTTGTCGCTCCCGATGGGGTCACGTGGGCAGTGCTGAAATGCTCCCAGTGCTATGTCTGAGTTGCTCCCCTACCCCAGATTCACATGTTCAACCTCTAACCCCCAATGTGGCTATGTTTGGAGACAGGGCCATTAGAGATCATTAAGGTTACAGGAGGTCATAAGGGTGGGCCCCTGATACACAAGATTAGTGCCCTTATTTATTTATTTATTCATTTATTTATTTAATCCTCACCCAAGGATATATTTTTTTCCCCATTGATTTTTAGAGAGAGTGGAAGGGAGGAAGGGAGAGGGAGAGGAAGAGAGAGAAACATCAATGGGAGAGACACATGTGTCTTGATTGGGGCTGAGGATAGAATCGCAACGCAGGTATGTGCCCTTGACATGAAATCAAACCAGGGACCCTTTGGTGCCGAGGCCCATCATTCAACCACGAAGTGACACTGGCCAGGGCAAGATTAGTGTCCTTATAAGAAGAGCCACCAGCCCTAGCAGCTTTGGCTCAGTGGATAGAGCATTGGCCTGCGGGCTGAAGGGTCCTGGGTTCAATTCCAGTGAAAGGCGCATGCCCAGGTTGTGGGCTCAACCCCCAGTAGGGGGCGTGCAGGAGCTAGCCGATCAATGGTTCTCTCCCATCATTGATGTTTCTATCTCTCTCTTCCTCTTCCTTCTTCTCTGAAATCAATAAAAATATATTTTTAAAAAAGAAGAAGAGACACCAGCCATGGCCAAGAAGCTCAATTGATTAGAGCATTGTCCCAATATATGGAAGTCGGAGGTTCTATCCCGGTCAGGGCACGTACAAAAATCAACCAGTGAATGCATACATAAGTGGAACAACAAATCAATGTTTCTCTTTCTTCCTCAAATCAATAATTAAAAAAACAACCCTGGCCAATGTGGCTCAGTTGGTTGAGCGTCACACCCAGTGTAAGGTTGTCGGTTCAAAGGCCGGTCAGAGCACATGCATGGGTTGTGGGCTCCATCCCTAGTAGGGGTGTGTATGGGAGGCGACTGGTCAATGTTTCTCTCTCGATCAATGTTTCTCTCTCACATCTCTCTCTCTCTCTCATTCCTCTCTAAACCCAATAAAATATTTAAAGAGTAATTTTCTAAGAAGAGTGGGTTGAAGTATTTATAAATAAATAAGAGACACCAGCGTTCTCTCTGAGGAGCAAGAAGGTGGCCGTGTGCAAGCCAGGAAGTGGGCTCCCACCAGGTGGCCCCTTGATCCTCGACCTTGGACTTCGCAGCCTCCAGAACTGTGAGAAAATAAATTTCTGTTGTGTAACGCCCCCCTGCCCCAATCTGTGGTGTTTTAGGGCAGCGCAAAGCCTCCGTGTGTGACAACATGTACCAGGATTGCTGCCCCTGCATGCTTCCTAGTGGGGATCCAGCCCGCAACCTGGGCTGTGCCCGGACTGGGAAGGGAACCGTGACCTCCTGGTTCATAGGTTGACACTCAACCACTGAGTCACGCCGGCCAGGCTGGCCCCGCTTCTCACTGTGGAGCTGGGAGCCCTGTGTGGACTAAAGATTTGGCTCTGAGAAAGGCAGGAAGTTGCGTGTCCTTGGGAAGCCTGGGGGGCAATGGCTTTGGGGCCACGCTAGGGTGAGGCCCCTGAGGGCAGAGTTTGGGAGGTCATACTGCCCTCGATGCCTCCAGCTCCTGCAGCGAATAGATGTGTCCCTGGTGAATGAATGAATGAATGCCTGCTTCCAGCACCTCACCTGGAGCCTGACTCACCTGTTGCCCCCAAAAGCCCGCTCCTGGGACTGTCCTTACTGTGAATGACCCAGGGTAGCGACTCGTTCTCTCTCTGCCTTGTTACTTTCATCTGTGAAAGGAGAAGTCCGAAGAGGGGATCTTCCAGGCCATTTGCAGTTCCCGGGGTTCCTCTTCTGCGTGGCCACGGCTCCCTCCTCCAGAAGGTTCCTGTTGGCGCTTCCGTCCGGGACAGACAGGCAGCTCCAGAAGCCAGACAGCCCAAGGACAGCCCAGCCGGCCCGGACATGCTGCTGCTGCTGCTGCTGCTGCCGCTGCTGCCCCTGCTGTGGGCAGGTGAGTGGGCCTGGGTGGGGCCAGGCCAGGCCGGGCTGGAGACAGGGCAGGGCTGGTGCTGCAGCTGAGCCGCTGTCCCCCCAGGGTCCCTGCAGAAGGATCCAGAGTACCAACTGCAGGTGCAGGACTCGGTGACGGTGCAGGCGGGCCTGTGCGTGCACGTGCCCTGCAAGGTGTCCTACCCTCGGGAGGGCTGGAACGACTCTACCCCAGCGTACGGCTACTGGTACCAGAAAAGGGAGGCTATCAAAGATGTTCTCGTGGCCACAAACAACCAAGGCAAGAAAATAACAAGGAAGGTGAAACCTCCCTCTCCACTCGACCTCTCCGGGGACCCGGGGGCCGGCGACTGCTCCCTGAGCATCTCAGCTGCGAGGCCCGGACACAGTGGAAAGTATTACTTCCGACTGGAGAGGGGCCCTGTGAACCACACCTACTGGGACAACCAGCTCACCGTGACCGTCACAGGTATGGAGCGGTCCCAGGAATGGACCACCGGGCTGGGCAGCAGTTCAGGGTTGGGGTGCACACATGGGGTCCCCTCTCTCTCTCCAGCGCTGACACAGACCCCGGACATCCGCATCAAGGAGCCCCTCGAGGCCGGCCGCCTGGGTCACTTGGTGTGCTCCCTGCCAGGAGCCTGTGCTCCGCTGCGGCCCAGCACCGTCTCCTGGGCCGGGGCTGATGCCCTCAGACTCCAGGCGCAGGGCTCCTCAGCCTCTAGGTACCCAGAGATCGTGTTCAAGCCCCGCCCGCAGGACCACGGCACCAACCTCACCTGCCGGCTCACCTTCCCCGGGGCTGATGTGAGCAGGACCATCACGCTCAACGTGTCCTGTGAGTCCGGCCAGGACGCCGGGTGGGGTGTGAGCGGTGGGGGACGGGCTGCAGGAAGGACACAGCCGCCCGTGTCTCCACTTCCCATTTCTGTGTGTCCTGAGGGTGGGGGTGGGGGGCTGGGGAAGGGACTCTGTTCCTCACTGTGTCCCTCTGTCCAGATGCACCACAGAACCTGACCATCCGCGTCTCCCGAGGAAGCCACACAGGTAAGGGGGATGCTTCTCTCTCACATCGAAGTTTCTCTCACTCTCCCCTCCCCTCTCCCCAAAAATCAGTGAAAACATATCCATGGGCTGGCAGCCTCGACTCAATGGTTGAGCTGTGGACCTATGAACCAGGAAGTCAGGGTTTGATTCCCATATCAGGGCACATGCCTGGGTTGAGGGATCAGTTCCCAGTAGGGGGCGTGCAGGAGGCAGCCCATCAATGATTCTCTCTCATCATTGATGTTTCTCTCCCTCTCCCTCCCTCTCTCTCCCTCTCCCTCCCTCTCCCTTCCTCTCTGAAATCAATAAGAATGTATTTAAACACACACACACACACACACACTCGGGTGAGGATTTTTTTTAAAAAAGGAGAGGAGAGAGAAATAGAAAGAAGTCTTCTGATCCGGGGCCTGCGCTGGGCTCCTCTCTCTCCAGAGCTGGAACACGTGGGCAATGGCTCGGCTCTCCCGGTCCGGGAAGGGGACTCGCTCCGCCTGCTCTGTGTCGCCGACAGCAACCCTCCCGCCACGC